TATTCAACCACGCCCCCCGGCCACCGGTCTTCGCCTTTTCTATGCAATGCGCGTGGTTGTGCTGTACGAAAATAATATTTCCTGGCTTTTTAATAAAAATGTAAAACATGCAAGCATCTCACACCCACACAAACATGACGAGATGTGGACACATTATTGATGTCATCGCACGGCTGACAACGCTTGTATTATATCAGTTAGCTACGCTCCCTCTCTAGACACTAGACACAGCCGCCCACGCAGAGCTTGCACGAACATGATCTTATGCAATTTTAATTTACTTTTGCCAACTGCTGACTTTGTGTTTCGACTTTTTCATCTGAAGCTGTTGTTCGCTCGTGTTTGGTATTAATTTAAAGCTTAAAGAAAAACTGTGACAAGCAGAAAAACTCCAACGAACTGCAGCTGATTAAGCTAAACATAAGAGCGCATTAGAATGGGAAAACTTTGCGCACTTTTATTTTCATTTTCGCGTCGCTTAAATGGGAAAAGCTTTTCTACCACCCCGCAGGCCAAATGCATTCACATTGTTTATACTTTTCATGTCGTGCAAAACCAAGCTTAAATTGGATTAAAGTATTAACGCGACAGTAAAATAATAAACTATAAAATCATTTTGAGTTCTTTAGTTGAAGCTGTAGGGCATCCTTTTAATTCGTTTATCATTCTCGTTTGCTGAGCTCGATAACATCTTTATTCTACATTAGATTTTAATATATATGAACTTATATTCTTGATATTAAAAGTTTCTAATCAAACAAATTATAAATAAAAATACAACAAAGTACTCGAAATAAATTAACCCCAAAACTTCTATTCATTTTACTCAACTTCTCCTTCATGAGTTAATTAAGCAGAAACAATCAAATTGATTGTACTTAAACAGTTTCTCAATCTTTGCCTAATCAGTGTCAATATTTATCAAAGATATTTACACAAAATGTGACCCAAAAACTTGGACAAAAACTTTGCAGACAAAAGTGCCCAAGTTCGAGCCGCAATTGTTTGGGCAATGTCTGGCTAAGGACTCGATCTGAATTGTAGCTGCAAGAAGGACAGAGTGAAAACACATGCCATTCGCTTCAGGTGCGAATCCCCAATTACGCGTGACTCAGAGAGCGCGGCTCGGTTCGTTATTTATGGGGCCAGATAAGAGCAGTAAAAGTCAAGTTTTCATGTGTCTGTGGTTGTGCCTGCTTGTTGCTTACGCCAGATAATGAATTTATGTAAGCGCTCGTAATTTACAATTCCCTGAGCTTTGATTATTTTAGGTGAATAAATTTGTTGTGGCCAACGTTGCGTATGTGCAACTTGAGAGTTTCATGAGGCGCGCTAAATAATATGTGCACTGTGAGAGATAAAAGAGGTTGCTATCTGAGTGCAGCTACGAAACGTACGCCCACACTCACACACCCATCTATCGATCTGCTGTCTAATTAGATTGGCATTCCGCATGCTGAGCAGAAATGTGAATGCCAGTCAGCGCTGAATCATAAATCCTACATGCATAGCGCGATGCTAACGTTACGTAGTGCATCTGTATACCCACGTGCACGCCCCCGCGCTCACTCGAAGGCAGGCGAAATGACGCCCATGTCAATAAAACGCTGACGTTTTGTATGCGATTCCAATTGCGAATACGTTTGGGACTGGGCTAAGTATGGGGCCTGCTTTCACTGTTGTCTTAGCTGCAATTCTAATAACTGTCAGCCCAGCTGCATGGCATGTCTATACAACATATATATCAATCTGTTTATATATAGATATATATATTTCAAATAATTTGACGTCGTTGCAGCTGTCTTCAACAGTGATTACAACTGACACACTCAACAGGATAATAGAAATCACAATGATTTATGTCAAAGAGCTGAGATTCAAGCACTGAACAAACAGTTTTAATTTCAAATGTTAAACTATGTTGATGCTTTTAGTTGAAAAAAAATTTAAATTGAATTGAAGATGTAGAGAAATTAGTGCTAAGGAAGCAAACTTTAAACTAGTATTAAGGCAACTTAAAACCAGATGTTGATTTGAATGGAAAGTGAAATGAAGACAAATAAATTTTTCTTATTTAATGCTACAGTCGCTGACCAACAACTGCATTTTTTTCGGGTAAGTTAATTGTTATAGAATCATAAAATGTTTGGTTTCCAGCTTTAAAAAGGGATAATTTTTAGTTTAACACCAATTATTATGCTTTCAATCGGCATAGATATATTTACTATATATTTCTAGTCTACAAGATTATATATTCCGAAAGTCTAGAAACCGGAAAAATCTTTACACCTTATCAGCATTTATCCTGAGCTGATAAGGTGTAAAGATTTTTACATTCATGCATACAGACGAACGAACAGATATAGAGACTTTTCACATTCGCATATATATTTTTTATTCATTTCAATAAGTAATTCCCCTCAGAACAAGAACCTAAGACTCTAGTCACATTTTTTAGAGCTTATTCTTACTACCCTTTCATGTTCTGCCATCATTGCTCTAACAAATAAGCTCATCCATCAGTCGGTCAGTCCTTTAGTATTTAAAGATCTGCTCGGTCAGTATCAAGTTCTATTGTACAAAGCTTTACCACACTTCTAAGCGATTTACTCCTAGCTAAGACGACAACAGTCTTGTGCAGATTATAAACCACTTTGTTTTAAGCTCTGCAACGATTTTAATTACGCTCAAGCGCAAACCGCAATTAAGCTGCTTTGGCCACGCCTTTTGGCTGCCCATTCTGCTGCCAAGGACAAACTGTCACTTGAGCCTGTTGCTAACAACACTTGCAACATTCCTTTTTGTGTGCTGCCAAGCAAGGCAAAAGAGTTTTCCGTAATCTAATCCTTTTCTTAGAGCTCTTTATTAGTGCAGGCACCACATGGCGTATGCGTGATAAACTGACAAGATTTTAATGCGAAATTCCAGAAAAGATATATAAAGAGGCAGAGTCCAAGGGTGCTCGCGTGGTTTATGATATAGAAAATAATTTGCCACAACAATTTCGTCCTCAGTCACGCATTTATGACGGACAGCTGTCACGACACGGCTCGTGAACGAAAGGCAAGGGGTGACAGGTCACGACCACAGGCAAAACGTTGACAAATGTCAACAAATGTCAACAGGCAACAATAGAAAATGCTCCACATTCCATATAACTTGTTCAATGTTCAGCTATCTCTCGCTGAGCAAAAAAAACGGAAACAGATAATGAAGATGAGAAAAATATTGCACTTTGGGCTGGTCGCACGTGTCGCCAAATGGTTGGACTGAAAGAATGTGCGCAGAGTGGGGCGAGGCAGGGCATGGCAGGAAATGCCTTCTGTATCCCGCAGTGGCAGTCACGACGGCAACTGTTGCAGCTGCCCCATGGGCAGGCGTGGTTGCAACATAAATTACAGCAGAGCAAAGGCGTTTGCACAGTGCAATTGAAATATTGCAGACAATTTAGCCTGAACAAGTCCTTTCTATACCACTGCATATTGTCGCAACACCCAAGAGCCAGCTAGCAGAGCTAATGTCTTTCTCATTTGCTGATTGTGTGGGTGGAACAAGAGACGAACATGTTTAACATAAATTATATTATTATATAAGATGTCGGCGTAAAAGGTTTAGGCACAAACTAAACTAATTTGAATCAATTATCAAAATATACAGAGATTACATTGCATGCAAATTAAAGAAGGAGACAGTCGGTAATTTGTTGGGGATATATATAATTCAAATGCAATTGGAAATTCTTAAATAAGTTATGATTTTATGACGTCTATTTTGAGAGCTTTTATTCTGTTAATTACGATCTCCTTTACGAATGTGTGCATTTTCTTATTGATTAGCTTTCACTGTATCTGCTTGACAGCCACTAAATTTGGCTTACAGTTTTAATGTAAGTTAAAACGGTTCATCAACTAAATAAAGTCAATTAGCCCTATTTCACAGTTAAAATATATATCATAAGTGATCTATAAATACTATAATATATAGTAAAAATAAAAGTATAAAAACATAAAATTTAATTTAAAATTGAAGACACTGATATTTTATTAATATTTTGATATTAATTAATATTAATATTAAAAATTTTTAAGACATTTTTGATGTATTTAAAAATGGTATAAATATTTAATGTATTTTAATTTTTGTAACACATTTTGATGTTCACGAAGTCTAGCCGCATGAACACTACAGATTTATAAAGTACCAGGAAAATATATAGTTTTATAGCAAAAATACTAAATGTAACGATTTAAGAAATCCAAATTTGATATTTCAGTTACTGCAGAATCCCTTCTGAGGTTTTTCAAAAATTAATTAAGTATTACTGGACCATGGAAGAGTATATTGCGTGGCCAACTTAAAATATATTTTTAAAAAGTTTTCTTACGTGAAAGATAATTATAAAGATAAGATTATTTATAAAGTTATAATTAAAATCTATTTCCAAAATTTAAACGTGAAAAATATTTTGCTGGACAACGGCATATCTATTTTTTAATTTAAATCGCACTGTACTCTTACAATTGTTCTATCGACAAACGAAATGGAAAAAGGAATATAACAATGCTGAGGATAATTAAATTTCAAAGCCGTGCTCTTTACCACGTAATAAAATGGCAATTGAAATAACAGAAATAAAATACGTTTCATTTTCGTCCAACGGTCGCACAATCGGATATAATTGAAATCTGTTTTGTTTCGACGCAAATCCGTTTGAATAAAAATTTTAATGCGCCACGCAGAAAATAAAACGTGTAATAAGACGAGGGCCAAATACGGAAAGCTATTTCGCAGAAATTCACGGCTCGCTGCACGCACGTCCTCCTATCCGGCCGGACACTCCGGGAAAATGGCAAAAGGCGAAACCACAAGTAAATAGCTGCTCGCTTTGATAACTCGCCTGCTTGGTGCAGGCGTTGAAAAATAACGAAAATTAAAAAAAAATATAATCCCCGCCGCCGTTTAGAAATCCCCTCACCCCTAGCCACGCCCCTTGTACTTACCGCATTCAGCATCATGGCGAAGAGCAGCAGTAGCCATTTGCTCCTCTGTGCATTTGTGTGCACGGCCTGCATTGTGCTCGATGGAAAGGTAGCTTGTGTCTGAGATCGAAACTTTTTAATTGGATTTTGGACTTTCACACACAACGCGAACTTTACGTGGTCACAAATCGAACTGGATTAGCACTTTGCACCACTGTGCGCAGTCACTCTCAAACTGTTTCAAAATCTAACGGCCAAGTTAGTCTCTGCTGTGCCCGCTTTTTGGTCTCTGCCTCAAATCTTTTCCAGACACGTTCGCAGGCAAGTCTTTCGTTTGACTGTGCCCTGCAGTCAGGACACTTGGCTTTTTATACGGCCCGGATAACGGTACGCTCGGTTAGGATTGCTCGGCATACGCCTCGCTATTGCTCTCTCGGGTCTGGTAACGTGAGCCGAGCGCCAGCGGATAAAAGTTCCAGCAGCAACTGTTGCTAGTTGCATGCGGCATACTTTCAGGCCCTCCAGTCGAGTGTTCCTTAAAAAAGCTGTGTGTGTGTGTGTGGTTGGCCTGCTTGTGGGCTGCTTATGTGGGGAATGACGTCATCGCAGAATGCTAGCCAAATGTAACTTGTTGTCATATTGAGGGCAAACGTGCAGCACAGTGGAACCAATGAAATTAAGTGAGCATAAAATGGGGCGCTGCAAATAATTAAACAACAAAAATATAAATAAATATAATATATTTATAATCTATACAAATTTATTTGCAATGTATTCAGAAGTATCATGCCTTCTGTATGGCTAAACAATAACCAGTTGAAAACTCCATAGTCAAGAGAATATAAACGATAATGAAGTCTTAGCTGATCATAGAACTTGCCTAAAATATTTTGATTTATTTAATTTAAAGAACTTTAGCCAATTTATTTTCTTTTTAAATTTTTTTAGGCTTTTTAGACCTTTGACTACTTATAAAAATATTAAATATTGAGTTAGTTTTAAGTTAACAACTAAATGAGTTTATTTTTTAAAACTACATAGGCAAATAAGGGAAATCATGTATTTGGGTTCACATGAGACCATCGTCACCAGACAATTCAAATTGAACTTCAATGTACAACATTCCGTTTCGGCCCACTGTGCGGTCTACTCTTTGCGGCCATACGAAGAGCGTGCGGTTACAATTCTCTGGCGTGCTTATTTATCCATATGCATAGGACTCTCTGAGGTCCCGTTAGTTGGGCAATCCAGTCAGAGCACTTGCGCAACGCTCGGCACTCAATTATAAACGAAATTCGAATCGCTCATACGCACCGTGGTACGCCAAAAAAATCACACGAAGGGCAGCAGAGCCACTGCAACGCAATGGAAAACTTATTCCTTATTAATGTAACACAGGCGCAATTAAAATTATTTTATTAAATTGTTCGGACTTAGATTTCAGGTTCAGTTTCGAAAATGTGAACGCGTCAAAGAAAGAATAAAAATACATGATGACATTTGAAATAGAATTTATTTGTGAGCTTTTCAAGTAGTATAATTAGAAATGTTAGTTGATTTATCAGCTACCATAAAATACAATATGAATCATATTACTTTGACATAGTTATATATTTATTTATGTGTTGTCAAGATCTGTTATGTTTAAATTATGGGCTCGCAATGGATTCTTAGCATCACATTCAATTATCAAGTTTTTGATTATATTTGAATTTTCTTTATTTTTTCACATTTATTCACAAATTTCAATAAAAAATATTTATTTAGTTAATTTTTGATTAAATCTCATTTGTGTCTTCGGGTACTTTTTCACATCAAACTGTAAATAAAAGCACACCAGTTGGACTTGGGTTTTTTTTATTATTAACAGAATATAAATAGAAATAATAAATTGCGACAGACAAAGTCAATAAAAGAACTTGACGTTTGCAGCTGTTGAGTACTTTTTTTTTTATATTTCCCACCTTTCTCTCATATAAGTAGCAGTGAATCTGTACAGTAACAATCAGTTTCCATCTACGTGTCAAAGCAAGGAATATGCGTTTTGCAATAATATTTGTCGTACTAATTGGCTTTTTGGCCTTAGCCGCTGCCCAAGGAAAAATAAGCTCGAGCAGTCAGAACACTTACAATTCGGGCCAACGCGGTGGTCCGTTGATCTACAACAGAGGAGGTCGTGGTTCACGTAACTCCAACAGATCACCTATCCGCACCACAACGAGCGGCACAACCGGCGACAATTCCGAAAATTGAGCAGAGACCAAGTAAAGTCTTTGAGAACAAGTACAAAACTTCAATTATTTGTAAATAAAAATATGTCTACAAGTATTCTGTATTATATTATTGCATTCATTCACAATACCCTTTGAAAAAATACCACTGAGCGTATCACATACCTCACAATTACTGTCAAAGTAATCCCGCAAGCAATAAATATCACGAATTAATTATCCCCAGCAATAAAAGTCATACCCCATTCACATGCCACCCCTACGGTAAGCGAAAGGGCTACAACATTTCAGCTAATGCAAATGACGAATATAATGAGGCTGCTGGAAAGAAGAGTGATTGACTAGCATATACCCTGTAGTCAGTTACGAGCTGGTGTGAGATTAGTAATTAAATAAGATTCTCTTAGTTATTCTTATTAATACACTTTGATTTCATGAAAGTCTGAAAACTTCAGAAAATTCATAATTTCATTCACTTCATGAAAATGCCACAGTCTGCGTGGTATACCTCTTTTTTATGCTTCAAGTCCAGGGCATATCAAACAAATTATGAAGCGTAAACAGCGTCAGCGGAGCTGCACGTAAATTGTGCAAAGTGCAGTTCGCATTGATATTCATGTGCACACACATACACACCCACACACACACACAATTGTGCACACACACAGATAGAAAGAGAGGGAGAGTGGTTCACCTCAGGCAATTGTCACGGCTGAATGCAGTTAACAGATTGCACACCGATAGCCTCGACACAGGTTGGCGGCCTGCAAAGCCGGCCGGTTAAATATTCAGTTAACACACGTCAAAGCCATATCCAGAGCCAAAGCCAAAGCCGTGAAAAAACAAAGGGTTGCAGTTTGGTGTTTTGTTTCAGTGTAGCGATGCATAAAATTTGGTTAGACCAGAGCCAAGACCAGCCAAGCAGCGCGGCAAACAATTCAGGATAGATGCACCTCATCCTCATTCAGGCTAAATATATGCAGATTGATTCGCGGCGATAAATGCGCGGAAAATGTTTTTCAATTTATGCGAATAATCAAAAACAACAAATAATATATACATATGGGAGAACAACTTTAACCACAACAAACGCATATTTTAATTTATTTTGCCAGCTAATTAGCGGACGTGCTTTCAAATATTGCTATTCGTGAAAAATAAAATAAATAAATTGATATGAATATGCAGTAATTAATAGGGTTATTAAAATAATGTTTAGGAAAACGAAATTATAAAAACAATTTCAAAATAATTTGATTGGAATTTTGCCAAGGATAATGAGTACAAATTAAGATTGTCATAAAATGTAGTGGGTAGGCTTTAATAGAAAATAAATTTTTAGGGGAAATGTAAGAACGGAATAAACAGTTAAATGTAAAGAAAGATATACAAACATGATTCACCATATTTCTTCAGTAGAATGTCGTAATAAAGAAGAATTAAGTTAAAGAAGTTGAGTCATTCATTTGAATGTGAATCAAGTATATAGAGAGACAAATATAGTAAGAGATAATTTAAATATTTTAATATTCCGATAGAGTTAAGATAAGTCAAGTTAAAATTTCTCGTATTTATGTATTAGACATTTTATTATTCAAATCTGGATTTATCTCGAAATAAATATTTAAGAAAATCCTTCTTGCTGTATATTACCCATGACAAAAGCTTACCAAATAATACTGAACAATAAACACTTCTAGCCTTAAAGACTTATCGTGTCATTTTATTTAATTGACCAGTCAGAAGCATTAGCTAACAGCTGGAGCCACTCTAAACAATCCGTGAGCCACACTATTCCACTGATATTACTATCATCATTTAGCACATCAATGATCCAACTCAAATTGCGAATATATCAAATTCCAATTGCAATTTGCCACATACATCGACCACATAATGAGCTAAAAGCAACTGCTCGATTCGCAGCACGAGTTCAGGGGTTAATCAACTCAACCGCGGCCCCAAAAACAAAAAAAAGTATAAAAATTTGGCGCAACACGCACTTAAAACGTGCCCCGGGGCTCAAACCATTATAGCCAAAAGATTGGGTGGCAGCCACGCCCTGCTGCTAACAATGCCAGCCATTCAATTGGCATCAGCTGGGAACCCGTTTAGAGCAAGACAACTTCATGTGGTCACGCTTTAAAAATATATATCGCACAACACCAACAAAATATATATGTATCAACAACAACAATAAAAATAACTAACGCAAAATTCCAATTTAAAACAAAATTAAAAAAAAAGAATAAAACATAAAACCGCTTTTTCGGTAGACCTTTTGTTGTTAAGTGTTCAGAACGACGCAGAGCCCCGACACCTGAACAGATGTGTAATAAAAAGTCGTGGTAATAGACACAATAAGTATAGGAGCACGCACACACGCAGACACACATATAGCATATATATCATTATCGGAACGCGCTTTGCATTATAATCGAGAGACCCTAACCAGACTGCATGGCAGTTCCATTCGCTAATTTGTTATTTAAATTCACAAAAGCAGTTAATTAGCGGCTTTTGAAAGCCGCTTCGCAGTATCTTTCAAAGCCCGGTCTCCGAACTTGGCCAAGAAGCCGATGACTAATAGCCGACATCTGGTTGTTTATCTACAGCATATCAACGTGCTTTATCCCATTGTTATGTTGTCTAACTGTCAAACCGTTTGCTGTAATTGGCCAACAGAAGCTATAAACAATAGAAAAATATAAGTGAAAAAATCTATGGCCGGGTGTAACCGAGTGCAGAATGCTCTGTTTCTAACGGTTGGCGAAGGAAATTAATAAAAAATAAATGAAAATATTTATTATTTATTATAATATATGTTAAGGTCAATTAAGCAATGCTCGGTCAGAAGCCTCATAAAGAATAACTTCCCTTCCCAAAAGCAGAAGAAAAGTCAAGAGGTCAGAAGCAGCTTAGGTGTTAGGCTTCATTACTTTGATTTACAAGCTCTGACATGAAACAATATTTATGTATCTTTTTTAAATTTCCAGCATATACCCCATTCAAGTTCCAAACAGAGTATATTGAAAAATAAATCTAGAATTGCAGGTGTTGTAATGGGGTAATAAATGTGTGCCTAATGGCGCGTTGTG